TTGGTGTATTAAGATCTTTTGATCAATTTGGTAGGAAACCATTTTCGCCTCAAAATTACGTTTGAATTTCGCACAATCATTGTTAAACTTTAATCAATGTACATTAAACGAAACTCTTAGCAAATCTTGTATTACAAGACACAATAGAACGAATCTACGTTGGTGACGCGTATGGGGATATTCCTCGGGGAATCTTTATTATTAGAGGAGAGAATGTAGTTCTATTGGGAGAAATTGTAAAGCTTTTTTAAAAATTTTATTTTTCATTTAATAATTCATTGTGAAAAATTCAATTTATAAAATTGATTTTATATAAATAAGGATTTAGACAAAGAAGATGAATTACCTCTCCGACAAGTACCTGTAGAGGAGATCCTATTAGCACAACGTGAAGAAATAGAAGCAAGACAAAGGCGAGAAAAGCTTAAGAATAAACTATTACATGATCAAGGATTTAGTGTAGATTTTACAGAAACAGATTTGTATTAATATATGTAGTGCATCTACTATTAAAACTTATGCACAAAAATGTATACTAATAATATTAATATTTTTTTAAAATAACAAAATTGATAAATTTACTATTTGTTTTGACCTATTGATGCATTCAATTGTCTTTATTATGTCATACCATCAGTGACATTTTTATTAAATTCTAAACACACAAAGTAACCTTCAGTTGATTTATTTCGTGAAGAATGTGGTTTCTCATAACGAATCTTTTTAAACTTGGATTTCAACTTGTTTCTAAACTCAGGTTCGGATTCACCCATTAAGAACTTTAGGAAAAAAAGAATTGACAAATCCTATTAAAGAATGAATTAATTTTATTAAGCAGTAGATTTTGAATCACCTTACCTTACACAGAAAAGTACCACCAGATTTTAATACAAGTTCGGCAAAAGCCAATGAACATTCACATAATTCCTTGATATATAAAAAAATTTAAAATGATATAAATTGTTGTTATGCATTGAGTCAGCGAATTAATTTACCATTGATCTAACGTGATCCACGAAATGATTTCCAGTAAAATTAGGTGCCATATCATTAAGTACAACATCAACATGCCTTTTGTTTAATAAATCAATAATTTTTTGCTGCGTCACTGATTCAGTAAAATCGCCTTGTATAATTTTTACACCAGTTATTGGATCAATGGGTAATAAATCAACAGCGATTATTAAGCTATTATCAGCATTCACATCTACATTCTTTGAGCTATTATCAATATTCACATCCACATTCTTTGATAGAAATATTTTACGAGAAATATATTGACACCAACTGCCGGGGGAAGCACCGCAATCAATAATTACTGAATTAGGTATAATGAGATTATATTTGTGATCTAATTCCTGTAGTTTATATGCACTACGAGCACCTAGTACAATAAAATAAATATTATATTAATTGTCGGGGATGATGCTGAAATTTGGAGTCTTAATTTGAAAATATAAACCAAAAAAGCTGAACAAAACACCCCCAAAAAATTTTAAATTTTCATAATAAAATAAGTCCAAATTTCAGCATCATCCCCGACATTAATTATTATTTAATTATAAAAATGTAAAAGGATGGTTAAGTATTTACGAAAATTTTCTTGGGCGGCCTTTTTAACATATTTATCCCGAATTTGTCTTGCAATCCATCGTTTTGAAGACGTAGTAGTATAATAACATTGCTGATAGTATTTGAACATCTTATTTCAAATTCGGAGAAAATTTTAAAAATATATAACATGCATAGAACTGTTTCACGGACATGTGTATCTGATACAGATTTTCTTGTTTTATTGGCTGATTACAGGGTTAGAAAGATTTCTGATTGGCTAAAACTAATGGTTAATTTTTATATCCCGATGCTCGCTATGTATTTTGGGATACGTATCACTTCACCGACACTCATTTCGTAGATATAACATTTCACCTACAAAAATTCACCGACATGTTTATTTCACCGGTAATTACATCAAAGAGAATAGTAAATTCCTGGGAGGTTTCTAATAATTTCTAAAGGTCTGGTAGAGGGTTCAGTAGTTGATACAATTAAGCTTGTAGAAGAGGTTTCAATCTTTAAACCAAATTCTTGATTACTTGATGAGAGATTACATTAATTGTGGTTTCACTATTAACAATAACATGGTAGGATTTATTATTACATTTAACAGGAGTAGTGTAAGTTGGTGTCTGTATCTAGTTAAGGATGTTAAATTTTTTAGTCAAATAATTAGCTAGAGCTGTTCTAATAGATTCATTGACAAAGTTTCAAATTGTTTATAAGTATAATCATTGGTTATATCTGCAGTATATATTTCTTGAAGATAGAGGGTGGAGGATTAATTTTGAGATTTATGGTTTCAGTTATAAGAGAAGTAATTGTTAAAGTGATATTAATCATAAGATTGATTTCTACTCCTAGACCTATTTTGTTAGTTATAATCTTGGTTTCTGGATCTATCTTAGTTGTAAAATCTAGATCTATCATAGAATTAATTACTTTTAGAGAAATATCTAATATTTTAACTAGAGAATCAATAATCTTAGAAGTTCATATAGTTATTTTTTTAGTAAATATAGCAATTTTTAATAAATATTTTCTATTATTATAATAGTAATAGTATTGTCTTGAGAATTGTTATTGTTGTTATCATAGTAGAATAAACTATTATTATTATTATTTGAAATTAGATTAGATTTTTTTTAGAGTTTGCTTTTTTTAAATTTTAAAAGCAAATAATTTTTAATTTATAAGCTTTTAAAAAATAATATTATTATTATATTTATTTTTTTAATATAATTCTAACAAGTTCAAAATTATCTAAATCTAATTACAGGATCAAAAAATAAAGTTTAGTCAAATAAATACACATCTCATATCAGATAATTGGTTAGATCTGGTCTAACCAATTGTCAAATATATGTGATATATACTTATTTGACCAAGCATTATCTCTTAATCCTGTAATTAGATTTGAATAATTTTAAATTTGTTAGAATTGTATTAAAGAGGTAAATATGATAATAATAAAATTATTTTTTAAAAACTTATAAATTAAAAGTTATTTGCTTTTAAAATTTAAAAAAAACAAACTCTAAAAAAACCTAATTTAATTTCAAAAATCAGTCTATACAATAGAAGTAGCAGGCTATTTCTTAACAAGATTAATATTTAATTTAGCAATCTGTTTAATAAAACAAGCAATAGTTTAGTTATTATTATTATTATTAGTATTATTTTTAGAGATTATAGTTTATTTAGTTTTCTATTTGTATGCCTTTTCTATAGTATGGGCTAAATTATTGGATTTTGTAGTCTATATATTAATAGCTATTCAAATTGCAATTTTTGAATAAAAAATTGAATTAACAAAGTTTCTGAAAAAATATTAGTAGGGTCTATTCTATATTAAAGTTGTTTAAATTAACTAATATACAGTATATCAAAAAAATAAATATGATATAGATCTACAAAAATCTGTAATCTTAAAATTTTAACAAATTTTATAATACAGTATCTTATGATTTAGTATTCGAAATTAAAGTTTAAACTGGTTTAAAATTTTAGATTTATAATCTGTCAAGTTAAAACTAACAACAAATTAGATATCTGAATTAAAATTAAATAATCTAGCTAAAATCAGATAAACTGGTTATCTAATTATTCAAATATAATTTGAGTAATCTGGTTAAGGCCGTAATATATATTATATAATACTATTTTATCAAAGAGGTACTTCTCTTCCTCATATTATATATAATCATATATAAAATATATATATTGTTATAGAACAGTTTATTATTTTATTAGTTTATTATTCTGATATTGTATTTTATTATTTATTTTATTATTATC